CTCATCCCAGCACTTTGGGAGGCCCAAGCGGGCAGATCACTTGAGATCAGGCGTTTGAGACAAGTCTGGCCAACATGGTGAAATCCTGTCTCTACTAAAAATACAAAAATTAGCTGGGCATGGTGGTGCATGCCTGTAATCCCAATTACTTGGGAGGCTGAGGCAGGAGAATCGCTTGAACCTGGGAGGCAGAGTTTGGAATAAGCCAAGCTCACACCACTGCACTCCAGCCTGGGCAACAGAGTGAAACTCTGCCTCAAAAATAAATAAATAAATAATAACCTCGAACTTCTGGACTCAAGGGATCCTCCTCCTCAGCCTCCCGAGTAGAGAAAATGCCATTTTATTGTCCTTACGTTAGAGATTTTGCTAAATACCACTCATAAATTACAGTGGCTTCATATTATACCAAATATTCTATAGAAAAAGATGAAAATTGTAAAGGGTTGTGACCAGTCAGAAGAGAAAAAGGTAGCAAGAGCTGCTTACTGAATATGTCAAGTTTAGAACTGAAAACATTTTTAAAATAAAACAATACTTTGTATACATTTGTGAAGATTTGGAACCACAGAATGGTTTTAAGAAAAAAAAACCAATTACACTACTTTCAAGTATAGAGAAAAATGCAAATTAGATTGGCTAAGAGTGCATAGAAACCCTTAATAGACCTGTTATATTAATCAGAAAGATAATCAGCCAAGTAAGGTATCCAAGTCTTCTCACAGATCATTTACTCTAAGGACAGTATTCCCCAGCCCTCTTTTCCTAAACAACTTCTACAAGTCTTCAAGTCTCAGCTTCTGCTTTTCTCCAGAAGACCTTTCCTGATACCTTAGACTAGAATGGGTATTTCTGTAATACTCCCAAAGCACCTTGTACTTCTCAAATCACAACGTCATCCTGATAATGTAAACCATTATTTATCTTCTTGCTAGAACATAAGCTCTAGGAAGACCAGGTCTGTCTTATTCTGTTATTGAATCCCAGTATCTGAAATAAAGCCTGTCACATTGAGACTGCACAAATAAATATTATTGACTTAATTTATTAGCTCAAATCACTAAAGAATTATGTTGTATCATGGACTAACTATATTAGCATACGAACTATACCTAAAAGAGGACATCAACAGTATTTATTCTTCTAAGTTCTTTATACTCTCCTGATACAATCTTGTCTATAATGCTGATGTTCTTGGCAATGCTTTTATTTTTCCACAGATAGGGCAAAATCTCAGTTTCCGTCTGAATATTCTCAGATTCTCAACTAGTGAAGTACAAATTAATGAAGCTGTACTTCATTCTGATTAGATTATTCTTGAAGCTTCATAACAAACACTTCATTTCAGCGATTAAAAAGTTTCAGAATGTGATGTGTCTACTCAACATGAATGACTTTATGCAACTCTTTGATTCAGGCCCTATGTACTTTAGCTGCCTAAATACAGAAATTTGGTATAAATCCTACATTCATACATTCAAGAAACAGGAAATTACATTTCAATGGCATTTGTAATTTATTGGCACTTTTAGTGTTTTTTTTTTACAACTGTTTCCTTACATTATAATTTACGTCCAGCCAGAGGCTACTCTTTAAGTATGCACGCTCATCTTGCCCAATGTCAACACTATGCTAATTAGAACTGTAGCTTCATTTGTGTGTCAGAAAGGTCCTGAACTCTTCCAGGCCTCCCATCTCACTCCTCACCCCAACCTGCTCACCAACCAGTACTTGTCATTCTTGGGTTTGACATCTACTGATATTTCCCTTATTATTCTTAACAATGGGAATAATGAGTTTATTATTTATTGAGTGCTATGATATGACAGAGGGCTTCCCCTCACCTTTCACCTTGCTCTGGCCTTCTCAGTAAAATAGGAGAAATTAAAAAAAAATGATATTACTTTTATCCCAGATACTTGGGTATAAACATAGTCAAAAGGAACACCTATTTTTCATGAGTTTAAGTTCCATCAGCATTCCTCTTCCTAATCTCTACCTACACTCTATGTATTTGAAAATCACTATGGAAGATTCTCTTTACAACATGAAAGTTATATGTAAAATATCAATTTATTCCCACATTTCTTGTTACTGACAGCTATTTTTTCCATGTTCAACTTTAATATTTAAAAACTGAGGCCAGGAACAGTGGTTCACACCTCTAATCCCAGCATTTTGGGAGGCCTAGGTGGGTGAATCACTGGAGGCCAGGAGTTTGAGACCAGTTTGACCGACATGGTGAAATCCCGTCTCTACTAAAAACACAAAATGTAGCCAGGTATTGTGGTGGGTGCCTGTAGTCCCAGGCACTCAGGAGGCTAAGGCAGGAGAATTGCTTCAACTCAGGAGGCAGAGATTGCAGTGAGCCGAGATTGTGCCACTGCACTCCAGTCTGGGCAATAAAGCAAGACACTGTCTCAAAAATAAAAATAAAAACTGAGCTATGCCAGGCATGGTGGCAAATACCTGCAATCCCAGCTACTCAGGAGGATGACATGGGAGGATTGCATGAGCCCTGACGTTCAAATCCAGCTTGGGCCACATAGCAAGACCTAGTCTATACTAAAAACAAAAAATAAAAATAGGCCGGCATGGTGGTGTGCCCCTGTAGTCGCAGCCACTTGGGAGGCCGAGATAGGAGGATCATTTGATCATTTGCACTCTAGCCTGGGCAAATGAGTAAGACCCTATCTCCAGGTAAATTTATAGATACATAAATAGGTAGACAGATAGATAGATATTTAATAGATAGATTTTAATTTTAAAAAATTGTATGAATAAAAAGTATTAATTTCTTGAGTTGGAAAGAACTTCAAAGATGACCTAACCTCTTCATCTTATAGGTGAAAAATCTCTGGATCAAGACTCAGTATGCCAGGCCTTGAGTTACTTAATCAGTGAATTCTGCAAATATTTATTGAGTACCAACTATGTGTTGTAGATGGTGCAGAAGAGACAAAGTTATGCCTTTAAAAATCTTATATCCTAGTAGGGAAAGATAATAATCAAGAAATACTATAACATGATAATTTCAGGTAGTGATAACTGTCATACAAAATAAAACAAGGAAATAGTTCATAGTAAGTGGGTAGTATTCACAGTGAGTGATCTGGGATGGGAGAAACTAATTCTGAAGGGGTGGTCAGGAAAAACTGCTTTTAAGTAGTAAAATTTACACTGAGCCCTGAATGTTGAGAGGAAGTCATCCAAGCAAAGATCCGAGGGAAAATCATTCCAAAGAAGGAAGGGCAAATGAAATGCCCTGAAGTGGGAATGAATTCAATGCGTTGAAAGAATAAAAAACAGCTATCATAGCTGAAGAATGATAAATTATGGGCAGAGAGGTAGAGCATCATGTCATAAAGGTCAGTCAAAACAAAATCATTTAGGATCTGTGGACCATATCAGAAAATTTTGATGTTATTCTAATTGTAATAAGAAACTATAGAAAGTTTGGGTGTGGTGTTTCACACCTGTAGTCCTGGCAATTTGAGAGGCTGAGGCAGGCAGATCACTTGAGGCCAGGAGTTAGAGACCAGCCTGGGCAACACGGTGAAACCCGGACTCTACTAAAAACACAAAAAAACAGCCAGGCATGGTGGTGCTGGCCTGTAATCCCAGCTACTCGGAAGACTGAGGCAGCAGCATCGCTTGAACCCGGGAAGTGGAGGCTGCAGTAAGTGGATATTGCACAACTACATTCCAGCTTAGGCAACAGAGCAAAGACTCTGTCTCAAAAACAAAAAAGAAAAGAAAAAGAAAAAAAAGAAACCACAGAAAGATTTGGAGCAAGGCAATGATACGATCTGTCTTAGTATTTTAAATGACTAAGTGATGTTAGAATCTTAAGTCTGAGAACAACAATAGTTATACTTATCACTAGTTTTCATTTGTTTACAGAATTGACCAGTTATGAGTTGAGTTTATTATCAGTGTTTTGAGAAAACAATGCAAATTTTTAGAAATTATAGAAATTACTGTTATAATAATGTTCCCATTGAATGGTACCTCTCTGTATTCATTGCCTTTATGTAGTCAGTCCCTTAACACAGACGCTGAGCTCGGCCTCCCACAGTGACTGTGTAATTTGCTTTGCCCAATGTGACATGAGTAAACACATCATAAGCAGAGGCTTGAAAAGCACTTAGGCATTGGAGTGTGCTCTCCCTCACTGCTAGTGGAATGCACCAACTCTATGAAGAAGCTCAAACCAGCCTGTTGGACTATAAGTAACACTTAGCCCAGGTACCTCCACCACCCCTGCTGATAGCCAGCCAACTATTACCAGGCATATGAATAAGCCCAGCTACAGAAGTAAGCCTGTAAAATGATATACCAAAACATCAGCAATACAGTTGTTCAAACCGTTCCTAATTTATGAATATTAATCTTGTAAAGGTATCCAAATACAATTACTATACATAAACTTCATTTCAAAAGGATGCATCTGTATTAGTTTAATGGCTATTTCTAGGAAGGGTCTTGTAAAATCTATTTTTTATTTATTTTCTTTTTTTTTTTTTTTTTTTTTTTGAAACTGAGTTTCGATCTTGTTGCCCAGTCTGGAGTGTGATGGTGCAATCTTGGCTCACCACAACCTCCACCTCCTGGGTTCAACTGATTCTCCTGCCTCAGCCTCCTGAGTAGCTGAGATTACAGGCGCCTGCCACCATGACCAGCTAATTTTTTGTTGTTGTTGTTTAGTAGAGACGGGGTTTCTCTGTGTTGGTCAGGCTGGTCTCAAACTCCCAACCTCAAGTGTTATGACTGCCTCGACCCCTCAAAGTGCTGGGACTCTGTTTCTTTAATTCAATTTTAAAATAATTAATAGTTTCACAAATTTCAATCTAAAAAAATTATAAGATGATATCTAGTTAAAAAGTTCTCCTATCTAGTTAAAAATCAGTTAACTAGAGAACTCTGTGCGACTGCTCCTGTGCTGCTGTCTCTCTATTTCCACCTGTGTCTCTGCTGCCCCCCCCACCCACCATCACGAGGGAGATTGGGCAACTGCAAGCCAGGCAGTGTGCAACCAGTTCTGAGAGGTCATCAGTGATGAGCACGCCATCGACCCCACAGGCACCTACCACTGGGACAGCGACCTGCAGCTGGAATGCATCAACGTGTACTACAACAAGGCCACTAGGGACAAGTACATGCCCCATGCAGTGCTCGTGGATCTGAAGCCTGGCACCATGGACTCCGTGTGCTCCAGGACCTTTGGGCAGATCTTCTGGCCAGACAATTTCATTTTCGGTCAGAGTGGTGCTGGGAACAACTGGGCCAAGGGGCACTACACAGAAGGCACGGAGCTGGTAGAGTCAGTGCTGGACGTTGTGAGGAAGGAGGCTGAGATCTGTGACCTGCTTGCAGGGTTTCCAGTTGACCCACTCCCTGTGTGGGAGGACTGGGTCTAGGATGGGTACCCTTCTCATCAGCAAGATCTGGGAAGAGTACCCAGACAGGATCATGAACACGTTCAGTGTGGTGCCCTCGCCCAAAGTGTCAGACACCACCATCTCAGTCCACCAGCTTGTGGAAAACACAGACAAGACCTACTGCATTGATAATGAAGCTCTTATGACATCTGCTTCAGAACCCTAAAGCTGACCACGCCTACCTACTGTGATTCTAACCACCTGCTGTCTGCCACCATGAGTGGGGTCACTACCTGCCTGCACTTCCCAGGACAGCTCAATGCTGACCTGTGGAAGCTGGCTGTGAACATGGTCCCGTTCCCCAGCTTGCACTTCTTCATGCCTGGCTTTGCCCCACTGACCAGCCAGGGCAGCCAGCAGTACCAGGCACTGACAGTGCCTGAGCTCACCCAGCAGATGTTTGCAACCAAGAACATGATGGCTGCCTGCGACCCCCGCCATGGCTGCTACCTGATGGTGGCTGCTGTGTTCAGGGGCTGCATGTCCGTGAGGGAGGTGGACAAGCAAATGCTTAATGTCCAAAACAAGAACAGCAGCTACTTTATTGAGTGGATGCCCAACAATGTGAAAAGGGCTGTCTGTAACATCCCGCACCAGGGGCTAAAAATGTCTACCACCTTCATGGGCAACAGCCAGGCCTTCCAGGAGCTGTTCAAGCACATCTTGGAACAGTTCACAGCCATGTTCTGGCACCAGGCCTTCCTGCACTGGTACATGGGCAAGGGCATGGACGAGGTGGAGTTCACCAAGACTGAGAGCAATATGAATGGCCTGGTGTCTGAATACCAGCAGTACCAGGACGCCACAGCCAAGGAGAAGGGAGAGTTTGAGGAGATGGCCAAGGAGAAGGTGGCCTCGGGCCTCCATTCACTGGGGAAAGCAAGGAATCGGTGTGAACTCTTTATTCACTCCCAGCCTGTCCTGTCGCCTGTCCCACTGTGTGTGCACTTGCTATTTTTCCTGTCCACATCCCATGCTATACAGACACCACCATTAAAGCCTTTTCATAGTGAAAAAAAAAAATCAGTTAACTAGTTATCTAGTTAACTAACTAGTTATCTAATTAAAGATGTCTGTCCTATCCATCTAGAATGATCCTCCTACATAACTATTATTATTTACTTTTCATGTATTGTTTCAGAATTTATATTTTTTACTTGAGAGCTAAATCAGCAAAACTATATTTTTATGGTTTTTAAAGTAGTGAATGAGGCAAAATGGGGATGACATCACGGCATTTGTTGAAAGAGAACAACTTCTGCATAGCATGTTTGCTACTGGATTTTATTAAGTAACTAAAGAAGTATTTATTAAGTCCCTTCTCAAGCATGATTCTAGGTGCTAGCTATAAATGTATTCCATATAAGAACATTATCAATATACTATGGTGAAACCAAAATTTGGTTGTAATGGATAACTTTAATCTCACACGTAATAAAACATTAACTTTTATAAATGCAATATTCGCTAATCAAGAAATCCAAATTTTCTACCGAATGTTAAAGAAAATTGAACATTTAGAAAACAACTGATCAAATACAAACAGCTGGAAAGAGTAAATGAGAAGTTAAAGAAAAGAAAAACACAGGAAACTTGAGAAAATAGCTTTAGGAATGTCCATAGTCATTAGCTTTCAGCCACCAGGAAGATGTCCAACCAAAACTAAGATTTAAATGCCTACAGGGAAAAAGAAGTTTCAATATTTAGCAGTTTAGTTACTAAGAGAGTATCTGACCTAAATTTACAGTAGAGTTGCTCATATTTTAGGTTACCTCATACTAATCCATTTCTCAAGCTTATAACTACATTGGTGATATGATGGACACAAAAACATTTTAAAACAAAGACCACACAGGAACTTTAATATTAATCTGTATTAGGCTAACAAATTAAATAATGTATGTCCTGATAGAAATCGTAATGCAAAGCAACTACATAACATTATGCTGCATGCAATGCCAGAAGTAAGACTTGGCCAATCATGAGAGATTACCACTTGCATTTATGTATCCATGTATTCCCCTCCTGGTCATGTGAAAGAATTTTCACAACTGAAATCAGTTCAAATATGTCCACAATGTTTTTAAACATCCTTCAGAATTCAGCATTTCATTGTCAAGTGAAAACTTTTCCACCCATTTTTGTGAATATGCTCAAGTTTTCTTTTCTTTTGTGATAGAATTGCAAGGAGAAATATGGTCAAATTTTGATATCAAAAGCAAGCAGGTTTTTAAAGTAGATTTTTTTTAATGTACTCCATATGAAGTTTCCCAACTCTGCTACTTTCTTCTATTATTCTTATAGAAGCAGATTGTGGGGAGGTAGAGATACTATTAATGGAATAGTTTGGAAGGAACATAACACAAACAAGTGATGCCCTTCAGTGGAGTGGAATTCAGGTAAACTTTATATTATACAACTGTATTAGTCAGGGTTCTCCAGAGAAATGCAACCAATAGGGGAAATATATATATGTGTGTGTGTGTGTGTGTGTGTGTGTGTGTGTGTGTGTGTGTGTGTATAAATATGTATACATATTTATATGTATACATATAAATGGAGACCCAAGAAAGGGTTGCTGTTGAAGCTCCAGTGGAAGGCAGTCTGCTGGCAGAGTCCCTCCATCTTGGGGGAGGGTGGTAGTCAATCTTTGCTTTAGTAAGGTCTGCAGGTCAGGTCATGTAAGCTGGATTTCAGGGCAAGGATTGAACCTCAAATTGAGGAACTAGAATGAAAATCAGGATCCCAAAGCAGGAAGCTGCTTCTTTAGACTAAGCAAACCCCCCGGGCTTCGAAGGATAATTTGGAATAAGTATGTTCAGGCTTCACTTTGGATCTATAGATTGAATGTGGAAGATAATCTACTTTACTCAAAATCTACTGATTTAAATGTTAATCTCATTTTTTAAAATACCTACACAGCAACATCTAGAATAATGTTGAACTAAGTACCTGTGTGTCAAGGCCTAGCCAAGCTGACACATAAAATAAACTATCAGAACAACAAATCACCAACAAATATTTCTTGAGCAATAGAGATGTTCCTGGGAAGTAGTACATAAATATAATTTTTATATATAGAAGCCCCATGGGGCTTCATGCACTAATGTCTTTCCACCCGTAGCTCAGTCCTGCTAGTTGTTGAGGATCTGAGCAAAGGCAAACAGCCCAATAAATGATAGATTCAGCTACCCTAGGCTTCAGACCTGGGACATTAGTGGTCAGGTAAGTCTTGCCCTTCTCAAACTAGAAGACCTGAAATGAAGCCTGAGCATACTGCTTTGGACTTTGGACTCTTTACTTTTTTCTTTTTAAAGTCAAGGACTGGCTTTATGGTCCAGGCGGGAATGCAGTGGCATGACCATAGCTCACCGCAGCCTTGCCTCAGACTCCTGAGCTCAAGTGAGCCTCCCACCTCATCTGCTCAAGTAACTGGGACTACAGGCATGCACCAGCACACCTGGCCTTTTTTGTTTGTTTTGTGTTTTGGAGACACAGGGGTCTCGCTAAGTTGCCTACACTGGTCCTGACCTCTAGCGTTCTTCCTGCCTTGGCCTCCCAAAGCACTGGGATTACAAGTATGAGCCACTGCACCTGGCCTGGATTCTTGATTTTCACTCCAGTTCCTCAATTTGAGGTTCAATTCCTGCCTGGAAGTCCAGCTTTTACTTGACTGGAGCCCAGATGCTCCCCTTCCCCCATGAACTGAGGCTGTTTCAACTTACTAACAGCAACTATCTATCCAACTCCATACTACATGGATATTCCTAAAGGCTAGAATTTGCAACACTCTTTAGAGAGCTTTCGCACCAAGCACCACTCCCTTTTCCTTTCCTTATCCTTGGGAACTGGGAGCCAGTATATAGACCATTAGTTCTTTTAATTGTTTTTTTCCTTTTTCATATTCTACCCCTTCTCCACTGGCCTGTGCCAGCTTGCACAGATTATGGCAGTAGATGAAAAGGGAAAAAGGTAAAAATGAATGATCCAATTGTGAAATGAACAATCTCACTTATGCATTCTGCAGAATCAGATTCCTGAATATCATATTTTCCTAGAACCAAGTACATCCATATTTGAGTATGGATTCAGCTACACCTTCTAGAACAAAACTGAGAAATATATACCATAAACAATACAAACATGATATATTTCATAAGTCTCACTTTAATTCTATTACAAAGGGACTTTCTTCACGTGGGAATCACATATTCTAAAATTAAAATTATCATTTTTCTTAACAGAAGAAACTACAAAAAAAGATTTTCAAAGGTGATTCATAAAATCATTTTAAATACATTTATATATAATATTAAACCAGATTTGTCCAAGAGTGTCTAGTCTGTAAATCAGACACCTATGAAAGACACATTTTTAGCTAATGTATATTTTTATACACTAGATGACAATTTTAACATTAATTTGGATTTGATACTTTAACATTCATTTTGCTTTGTTTTTTTGTTTGTTAGTGTTAATGTCTTTATCTTCCCCCAAAGGATTGTGAACTCCCTGAGGGCAGCAAACCATTTCACACAACACTTTTGTTTGTTTGTTTGTTTGTTTGTTTTTGTTTTTGAGACGGAATCTCCCACTGTTGCCAGGGCTAGAGTGCAATGGCATGAGATCTCAGCTCACTGCAACCTCCACCTCCCAGGTTCACGAGATTCTCCTGCCTCAGCCTCCGGAGTAGCTGGGATTACAGGCACATACCACCACACCCAGCTAATTTTTTGTATTTTTAGTAGAGATGGGGTTGGCCAGATTGGTCTCGAACTCCTGACCTCGCGATCCACCCGCCTCGGCCTCCCAAAGTACTGGGATTACAGGCGTGCACTACTGCACCCCGCCCATTTCACATAACTCTTAATGGTTAGTACTCTCCAACTGTCACCCCTTCCTTACCCTGGGGCCACCATGACTGGGTCAGCCAGATGGAATTTAGGCTTGAGAAAGTTTGAGGAGCCCATGGAGCTGGAAGTACTCTCACCTGAGGCAATAGAAAACTCCCAGGCTGAAGCTAATCTATAAACCATGCCAATCAGCCAAATATATAAAGGGGGAACATTAGGAGAAAAATCAAATCCAGGAGAAGTCAGAAGTAGAAATGATCTAAATCAGAGTACACTGCCAAAGGAGGGAACCAAGGAGATAAGATCAATCGAAATCAAATCAGGACTAATTAGGGGCAAAAAAGCCACCATGATTGTCTGCAAAGCCTGCTAGCTATTGGGGCTGGGTTTATAGAGAGGCCAGGATGTCTTGAAGGGAATAGTAGGTAGATCAGCCCAATGAGAAGAGTCAGGCATGAGGGTGATTTATATTTCCTGTGGTGCCTCGCACACAGTAAGTTATCAACACTAAGCTAATAAAAAATAATTATTCATACACAATCCTGCTGGTTTGACAATTAATATGGGATATTACCATGCACCAGAATAGAATAAATAGAAGAGTGCGTCATTGGGTAAGCTATGAGGCCTCTCTATGATAGTGAGATGAGAAACTGCTCCAGAAGTCTGATAACCTTAGAACAACTAGGATGTGGCATATGGAAAAAGGAAGAGACACTCTTAGTTACTGAACACCAATGCATTACCAGTTGCCTTTATATATTTTTATTAATTCAATCCTCCAAGGGGTAGGCAGTACTCAAAATTTTACAGATGAAGAAACTACAATCTCTGAAAAGTTAAGTATCTTGCATAAGATCACACAGTCAGGATTTAAAGCTAGATCTGACTCCAGACTCCACGCTCTTTCCAAATATTCCAGTCTCTATCAAAGTTGGGAAGAGGTGCAGACTAGCCTAAGTGACAAATCTGAAAGATTGGTTCCCTCTCAAGGAAAGATCAAGAAGAATCTATGGAGGAAAGATATATATGTCTCTCCATGAAAAGATACCTCAACTCTACTTGAGTGACTTGGTTTACTTGACCTGCAGTAACAAAGCTATTGTCCAAGTAGAAACAACTACTATTTATTGAAAATCTAAGCTCAGCAAGGTGGTGCACTCCTGTAGTCCCAACTACTGG